CTTTTTGTATATTTTATTTCAATTTCAATTTTAATCTTAATATTACTTCTAATTTTAATTTTAGTTTTAGTTTTAATTTTAATGTTAATTAATTTCAAGTTTTAAGTTTTAAGTTTTAAGTTTTAATTTAATTTTAATTTAAATTTTAATTATGATTTCAATTTTGAGTTTTGATTTTTGGATTTTAAATATGTTAAATTTTAAAAATTTTTGACTATCAATTTATTGTGAAAACACAAAAGAAACACACGACACAACACAAGACACAAACACACAAAGACAGAATAACAAATGTAAAAACTGGAAGTCATCCAAAGCCGCAAGGCGCGGATTAATAATTAATAAATAAAAATAAAAACAATTGATGATTTTCCTTACATTTGACTGTGATTAATCAATTTCTTATGGCTTCATGCTTCTTCTTCTTCTTCTTTCTTTTATATGGCCACTTCTGATCTGAGGAACTGATCAGTAAATTCCGGCCAACAACCGGTTAAAATGGGAATGAGATAGGAGAAATTAAATCATGGTACTATATAGCAGTGCTCGGAGAGAGTTGCCCGTTTTGGGCCGATATGTGAAGCGACGCCAACGGTCCCCCCACTACCGCTCGAGGCTCGACGGCCGAGCCGCCGATCGCGCGCGTAATGCCCGTATCAGACTATGCATTGAAGATTGAGATTCAAGATTCAAGATTGAAATTTGACAAATCAGAATAAAGAAATTTTAGTCCCTGATTAGTTGATTAGTTAAATTCCAATCTTTAATCTTCAATCTTCAATTTTCAATGCGTAGTCTGATATGGGCTTTAAGCTAGCGCCAGCGTATTCGCGAATTTTAGTCCTTTTTGTTCTGATTAGTTAAATTCCAATCTTTAATCTTCAATCTTCAATTTTCAATGCGTAGTCTGATATGGGCTTTAAGCTAGCGCCAGACTATACGCGTATTCGCGATTCGTTTATATTTCGTGAATAGTGTGGATGGAAGATTTGTCAAATTCAACCAATCAGATTTCTTTATACCGTTCACGAATCGCGAATTACGAATCACGAATTGCGAATACGCGCATAGTCTGGCGCTAGCTTTAAAGATATCATACCCACGAATGTCCCCATGGTAACTCTCTGCACATAGAAAAACTTAAGCAGTAAGACTTAAGACTTAAGAATTTCAACCATACGGAATTTTCAGCGTAGCTTACGTTTCAATATGGCTGCCTTACTGTTCGACCGTGATTGGTCAATTCGCTTACGTCTTAAGTCTTAGGGCCACCGCACAAGCTTTTCCGTAATGCATTACGTTACGTTAAGTACTGATTCTAAACCTAAACTCATACGTAATCTTAAATTTCAGTCAACGCACAAACAAAGGGTGCGTTCGCTTTGGGAGCTCACACGCTGTAAGCGCTCATAAGCATCACTCATATCGTTCGCTTTGGCGTTGTAAGCGCGCACGGATCGAATAATGACGTCATCGTGACGTCATAACTTTTACTCACGAACGCTTAGGGCTGTGGCACATAAAAAAACTTAAGCAGTAAGGGCCGTGGCACATAAAAAAACTTAAGTAGTAAGACTTAAGACGTAAGCAAATTGACCAATCACGGTCGAACAGTAAGGCAGCCACATTGAAACGTAAGCTACGCTGAAAATTCCGTATGGTTGAAATTCTTAAGTTTTAAGTCTTACTGCTTAAGTTTTTTTATGTGCTACGGCCCTAAGACTTAAGACGTAAGCG